CAGGTGAATCGCTTGAGCCCAGGAGTTGGAGGTTACTGTGAACTGTGATGCCACAGCACTCTACCCAGGGCGACAGCTTGAGGCTCTGTCTCAAAAAACAGAAAAATAAAAAAGAGTTCCAAACAAACATGAGCAAGAGTGACACCTCGTCTCTACCAAAAAAAAAAAAAGAAAGAAAGAAAAGATTAGCCAGGCATGGTGGCAGACACCTATATTCTCAGGTATTCAGGAGTCTGAGGCAGGAGGATTGCTTGAGCCCAGGAGTTTGACATTCTTGTGAGCTATTATCATGCCACTGCACCCTAGCTTGGACAACATAGTAAGATCCTGTCCCTCCACCAAAAACAGGTTAAAATTGTACATTTAGGTTATTAGGTTTCTCACTACAATTTAAAAGTCGAAATTCTTGGCTGAGGATAAGAAGCCTCTCTTATCTGGCCCAATCCCTACACCAGCCATCTAGAACTGTTAATACTAAAATTCCCTGTACTAAACAGTCTTCGTTTGCCTCCTTTTTCCCCTCTTCAGCAGGCAAATACCTGTGCATTTTCAAGATAGTTCAGTTTCATTTCTCCCTTCAGTAAGAGACTGATTCCCCAGACAAACAGGCTGTCTCTCTGATCTGCTCCCAGAAGACCTAGCACTACTTAGCTTCTTGGTAACTGTTAAGTAAACATGTCCCTTCCTCACTATGAGCAAGAGTTGACACAGTGCAGTCTTTTTCTTGTTTATGTCTGTCTCTTAGCTCTTAGCACTTTGTAGCCTTTCAAATTATTTGCCGAATGAACAAATAAGAGGTAAGACATCAGTCATCTTTTGGACTTTGTGGATCTGTCCAGATTTTCAAAATAACTTTGAACCAACCTGGAAGTGTTTAAATTTTAAATTATTTTTCTCATCTCTTTGCAAATTGGTGAAAAATAATAACCACTGAAAATCAATTAGTCCTTCCAAGTATTATATTGGGTCTAATAAATTCTCTGTATTAATTCTATACTGATAGTAACCTCCACTAAATCTACTTCGTAGGTGGCAGTTCATTAATTTAAAACTTTCCCAGTGGAAAAATGTTACAGACTCCTGGCTGCCTAGTTCAGAATAAAGACTGAACTTAACCTCTTTCCTGGTACAATTCCTCTTTCTGCCCAAGAGTGAAAGCCACAGGGGAGGCACTAATGAAGTCAGCTGCATCTAATTCATTCTAGCAACACCAGGACCTAAGGGATTTGTCAGAGGTCTGTATTTCAATCCTCAGATTTGTTTTGTATAATAGTAAAAGCTTTGGCTATTTTTTGTTGCATTTGTCATTGTTTAGCTGGCCTGGGCCAGGTTCGAACCCCAGGCTTCGGTGTATGTGGCTGGTGCCATAACCTCTGTGCTACAGGCACTGAGCCAGTAAAAGCTTTTCTAAAAAAATTATTATTTTCCTGACATATTTAATTGTGCAACAATCACATTGAATAAAAGACAGGTGCGAAATCAGTTTGTTGAGCCTCATTCATCATTTAAAAATTTCACACAGAATAAAATTGAACAGGCTGGTCTGATGGTAGAGGGTTATCAGAATTTATTAATATTAGTGTCACTAAAGTTGGTATATAACCTTCCACCGCTAAATTTGACTGGCTTAAAAAAAAAAAGATAAAAACAGAACACAAAAATGTTATAATACATCAAATCCAGTAAGGTGTCAATCTTGTTTCATCAATTGTCTTTTCATCTGTCACTAATCTATTAAATCCATCTAAGGGGCTGGGCATGATGGCTCATGCCTATAATCCTAGCACTCTGGGAGGTGGAAGTGGGTGGATTGCCTGAGCTCATGAGTTCAACACCAGCCTGAGCAAAAAGCAAGACCCAGTGTCTACTAAAAATAGAAAGAAAAACTGAGGCAATAGTATTGCTTAAGCCCAAGAGTTTGAGGTTGCTGTGAGCTATGACACCATGGCACTCTACCCAGGGTGACAGCTTGAGACTCTGTCTCAAAAAAAAATAATAATAATAAGTCCATCTGATGATTGTTAAACTTTTATTATTGTTTTTTATTTCTAGAAGTTCCATTTAGTTCTTTTTCAGTTTATGTCCCTTTCTGTAGTTCTTTATTCTCTTCAGGCATCTTCAAAATAGATTTAAACTCAGTAAACATAATTGCTTTTACAGTTACAATCTAATGGTTCTAGTATTTGAAGTCTCCACTGTTCTGTCTCTTTTCTTTTCTTTTTCTTTTTCTTTTTTTTTTTT